GCCAGTAATTTGCAACGCCTGTGATCTGGGTGTCTAGTGTAGTACATCTGGAGCCAGATTTGAAGAGGCATGGAGCACTTGCAAGTGAAATGAAGGTCAGTAGAGGTGCAGGACTGCAGGTGTTTGGAATGAGCAGCATCACAGAACTGAAATATCTTGTTCTCCAATCCTGTCTCTTGCTGTTGGCCCTTTACAGCCATACAATTTTTCTATGTGATTTTTCAACTATACAATGATATAGAATATCATCCTAGCCCCTTTTTCCCTTTCAGATCAACATGTATTCCAAAACTGAGGCAATGCCTGTACACTTGGATAGTTCTGCATACCTCTGGGAGTAAGGGGAAGGGAAGATTTTGCCAGTCAGGTTTGTGCAAGTATCATGCCATAGGGATCAGTACCAAAGGGGAACCACTACAGAAAAGGGCATGTGCATCCTGGGGGCAAATGACAAAGCCGCTCTTCAGTTGAGGTTTCGAAGGCAAGCCACCGCCCGCTGAGTACCACTTCTGGGGCAAAGAGCCAGCTCACAACGGCGCAGACCCCCTGTCACAGCCTGCTTTGTAACTAGCAGCTGTCCTGGTGCCCGCTTCCCTGGCACGTGCGGGAGGAGCCACGCTATCAAGCAGCGACCTTCTGCATAAGCCCTACTTTAAATTGGCCTTAAGGAGGCAGAAGAGAGAAGCTAGCCCTGTTAGCTCACTCTGTTTAGACCTGAATTTCTCGCAGAGATAAGAGTGTCTGCAGTGGTCTTCCAGAGGCCTTCACATGGAGGCCTTCCTCTCTGTTCCAGCAATAATAAACCTTGCCAGCAGACTGACAGTCCAGCAGATAAGACTGAGGAATCATACCACATCGCACACTGTGATGGACATCAAGGATGTACAAGAAGAGACTGAGACAACTGGGTGTGCTCGGTCCTGAGAAGGCTCAAGGTAGGGGGAGGGGGAATCACATCACTATCTTTCACTACTCAGTTGGAGGGAACAGAGAAGATGCAGCCCAGTTTCTTGGATGTGTGCAGTAAAAGGGTGAAAGGCAATGGACACAAGTTGCAATGAGGAAAATTCCAGTCAGAAATTAGTGGGAAAAAATTCACCGTGAGGGTGGTCAGACACTGCAACAGAGGGTTTGTAAAATTTCCACCCTTAGACATGGAGACCAGGCAAGGTCCTGAGCAACGTCGTCTAATCTGATGCTGCTTTGAGAATAAGTTGGGGCAGAGACCTCCAGAGGCTCCCTCAATCTAAGTTGTTGGGGGACATCACAGAATCATAAAATAAGAGCCGCACATCAGATCTGTACCCTGCTGTACTGGTGTGTTGCCATGATCAACTACCATGGAGCTGCAGAGGCAGCACCTATATCTCTGTGAAAGAGGCTGCAGAAAGCATTTTCTGAGGGAAAAAGAAAGCTATTTGGTGAGTGAGCTTAAAAGAAGAGCTCACGGGGTTCGACCAGGCTGAGAGTCTATTGAACAAGCCCATCCTACAACTTTTCCAAGACTTTGGAAGTTTTCTGCAATATGGATTAAGCCTGGGCCAATGCATACCAAAGTCTCATGGCCCCTTTCTACACTCTGTCCTGCTTTTTGTATTTGATTGTTGTGAATATCTGTGATGTAAATTCAAGAAAGGTCAAATCTTCCAAAAAAATTATGCCTGAAGAGATTGTAACCATGTGGGTTAAGGACTAATCAAACCCTGCTGCCTCCCAACATCCCTGGAGGATGTAGCAGGAACAGGGAATCAGTCTATTTACAAGGGTAGTTTATCTACAAAATGGATCCAAATATAAACTTTTTCCTTTGGCATATGGTGCAAATTTCTATGGCCTTTATATATATAATTCATTCATCAATTTCAGTTGAGGAAACATAGTTCTACCTAAAACTAAAGGGAAAATGAGACTAAATGTTTGTTTCTAGTTAATTGCCCAACTCATATGCTGTCTAATATAGCAAAGAATACTACAAGTAAGTCTTTCTGATCTTGAAGATCATTTAATAAAAGTTTACAATCACTTTCTCCCTTCTACCAAAAGAATTTTGGTACTACTAGAATAGGATGTTTTCTTTGTCAGGTTTGAATACACAGAAACATTGTGACCTCTTAAGGTGGTGATCTTCATACATTGGTTAAAGTGTCTTAAAACTGTCCCCCACTGTGAGAAGTGTTTATTCAGAGTTTGATTCAGCACAGTTGTCCACAAGTTAATTATTTAAGTCTTGTTGCCTCTTGTCAATGTGTAACCAGAAGAGAGAGGAAAATGTTTCCAGGAGGGAACAGTGCCTCCCACCCTGAAGGGGAGAGGCTTTCCTAGAGTAAATCGGTATCTCAAAATACACCCTCTTTCCCAGAGCTGCCAGCATCTAGGCATTTTGAGCTTACAGGCATATGATGGTAAGAAACGCATTCATTTTTCACATGAGAACCACATGGATTTTTTGTGCCTTTTTGGTCACAATTACTCTATGTTTAGACAGCAAAAGTTCCAGTTAAATAATGAGCATGCCCTTGCTTTTTCCTGCTTCAGTTCTCATCAGTCTGGGCAATTGGGCAGGCTCCAGAAACTCCTCTTGTAAATCAGACTTCTTTTCTGGACAAAAGGATCTGTTCTTCTCTTCTTACTCCTAGATAGCTTCTTTTTGCCTGACTACACAATTAAACAGCATCGCCCTCTGTAAAAGTATATTTTATCCTACCTAAAACTTCTGTGCTTTACAATGTTATTGCATTTATTCATTCCAATACCATGATACAGTTTGTTCTCAAAGATGCTGGGAACTTTCCCTTCACTGTTTTTCCCTTCACTTACTGTCTTCTCATCTCAAAAACACCCCCCCAATCCCTTCTTCTCCTTGTGACAAGGCTAAGAAAATGCGTTCTCCTAACACCAGCCATTGCCCCGAAGTATCTTTGTCACAGTAAGCACCAATAAAGCCGGAGGATCAACCCTGTTCCTGGACCAGCACATTAGGGACACAGCTGTGATGGGACATAGTGGATTGCACATATACTAAGCTATCCACTTAGTCCATCTATAGCAATTCTCCAACACAAGCAGAAATTTACAAGCGCTGATTTTCTAAAATGATACTATTAGATATGTAGCCCATTCTACAGCAAAATATCAGATTGTGAAGGCCTCGTTTTACGATAAAGTCAAGGAGGAGAAGACAACAAAGTTAAATAAATGACTATGCCTTGACACAGAATGCAGAACTGGTAAACTTTTTAGATGCTGCTGAATTATGTTTTAGTCTGCAAATCCCAGACCCATGCAATAGCTCTGAATTTCTTCAAGTTGTTCTTGGTGGTCAGGGGTCTGGTGGGCTGTGGCCTTGTGGCTCATTGACATTGTTCTGGGGCGTACAGCCCATTCTAGCATCTGCCTCCGTGTCCTTCAGGGAACAGCAGAGCCAGTCTTGTTTGCAGCACAGAGGAGCTGTCATGCCACCCAGCAACCCCACACAGCAATGTCAAGAAGAAACAGAAGGTGAAAATGTTGTCTCTACATGAGACCGCAGGAAGCACCAGCAGGTCTGCGCTTGAATTGAGCAAACTCTCTGATCCCTGACATCCACAAGCAGGAGTTCAAATGCCTCTTTAAGGCATTTTGTTTCCTTTCTAACAGTAAAAAAGAAGCACTGTCTCAGAGAACACTGGTTGCAGCAGCAGGCTTTTGTCAGTTATTTTTCCTTGCAAAATGCATGCACTGCACAAAATTAATTTGCAGCAGCTTCTGATAAGAACATACAATGTCAAGGTCCTGCCTAAGAGAAGCCAAGGAACGAAGCACTGATAAAAATTTTTTTAAAGCTTTGTTGGGGTAAGTGAAGGATTTTCAAGGATGCTATGATTGAAACAGTTGCCAAAACTTTGTCATCTGTGTCAGCTAGAAACTTTTCTCCTCCAACAGAAACGGTTTTGCTTTCCTCCCGTCACTTGCAGGCCCAGTTTTGCTCTAAAAAAGTAACAATGTGGGGGTGCTGCTTCTATAGCTTTTCTCCAGGGCTCTCTCTAATGAGTGAAGAAAATTCATGACAGAATAAAAAAGAGACTTTAGGAGTTAGTCACACGAATACAAGTAAAGCATTTTTAGAGATCCATTCCAGCTGTGCCTGAAATCAGTGATCCCCTTTCCAGTGATTTCAGCCTAATTAGTTGTGTTGCTGGGCTTCTTTGTAACTTCCTTCTCGCTTAAGGTGGCTACCCATTTATCATCTTGCTTCAGTAGTGATGCCTGCCTATCCCGGTGTGAGAGAGAGAGGAAATACAGCTCCCGTCAGTGTGCCCTGACAGTACACAAAGACCTGGGAAGGCAGTGCAGGTATTAGGAGCTTCAGGCTAATGCCTAAGCCCTGCCCTGGTCTCACACTAGAAAAGCATTTTGCTAGAACTGGAGTGAAACCCTAGGGAGAAACACCTGGGCATTTTCCCTGTATTTTGGAGATGTAAAAAGTAATGACACAGTTCACTGCAAAGGCACAAACAGCCAGTCACAGCCTTATTTTAACTAGGTACTCTCACACCAGACATTTCAGAGGTGAATCTTTTTCTCCTGTAACTTTAATTTAACCTTAATGGTACATTAGGCCATTTCATCACTTCAAATGCCTCGAGTATACTGAACAAATACAAACCAAAATCCCAGAGGTTAGTTTTATATCTTGCACAGAGAGAACGAGAAACCCACGCTATAATGGGGGAGCCCAGTATCCAAAAAAACTACAGCAGTAGAGTCCAGTTCTCAAACCATTATAAAGAGCTACTCCTGCTATTTACATTTAATTTTAATGCTACCTTCACGCTAACACTGTATTACACAAGCAAGTGCAGCTACAGAGAGCTGCATGAGGGTTTACCCTCTGAGGATTTAGGCATGCAGGACCACATCTAGGCTCAGACTTTGCCGGATCCAGAGCCTTCCTCTTTGAGAGGTGGGGGTGGAAGCCCCATATTTGTTTGCAGCAAAGGAGGCATGCAAGAGGGAGGGGAAGCAAAATGACTGAGGTGGTGCTCTGTGGTATATAAACACAGGCAAAACTCCCCCACAGTCTTTTGAGTGCTAGAGAGGTGGAATCAAGGATTGAGGCAGACTTTTGTGGGGTTTGTTTGGTATTGAAGTTGATTTTGAGCATTTTCAGATTTGTTAATTTCTTTAGTTTGTAATAGTTTGTAAATACTTTTTTCTTTGCATGGAAAAATGTGTAGGCTACTTCTGAATAGGAATAGCTAGCAAAAGTAAGACATGCTTTAAAAATTGTTGTTTAATGTAGGGGTTAGTTTGTTTTCCAGTAGTCTCTCCTTCCAGTAACACCCTTCGATTTGTAACCTTTCCAGAGGTTGATGTCGTGTGTTCATTTCCTCAGGCAGGAGGTGAACCAGCCGGTCTAAGCTCAAGAGACAGCCAGTTCGCCACCAAGGAGCAACCCAGAGCAATGTCCCTGGCTGGGGTAAGCTGTCTGGTGACAGGAGCAGGAGGATTTCTTGGTCAGAGGATTGTCCGCTTGCTGTTGGAAGAAGAGGAGGCGCTGGCTGAGATCCGACTGCTGGACAAAGCCTTTAGCAGTGAAGCACTTGGGAGATTTGGAAGTAAGTACCATCTTGTGAGGACTATGTGTTGCAGGTATATGTGCTGTTGGCTCATGTGGATAGCTTGGAAGTCTTTACCTCTCATCCAAACCAGCTTTGTAGATAGAGGGTTTTTTTCAAGGAAGTCTTGCTTTATCCTTCCCTCTCCCTCCAGCACAGAAATCAGATATAAAACGTAAAAGCAAGAGTTTTCTTTGCCAGACCCTGAGGCTTCTCTAGATTGGAAGAGAGACCTATATACTGTTCATGCATTAAACAGGCTAACTTCTATTCCATGAAAGCCCACAGAGCAAAATCAGTGCAAAAGTCTCACACGTCTGCTTGGGGGGAAGGGAAATGTAAGAGTTGCTATACAGGGGGTGGTGGGGAGGCAGACTGTAACCCAGAGCATACTTCTCCTGGGCTCTGATGTGCTAGACTAGAAGGCAGTGGCAAAGTTGTGGGTACACAAATGCTAATGGTTTTCTTCAAGCTGTGATTAGTTTGGTTAATAGTGATCTTCTGTATGAGAGTTGCGATGAGGTATCTTAAAAATTTGTTGTTACTAATATTATCGCAGTTGCCTGGAGAGCAGAACCCTTTTGTGCTCTGCACAGAAGAGACAGGACCCATTGGCAAAGGGCAAGTCAGGACTCTGGTTTCTTGAATAGACTGGAGACAGCACAAATGAGTAATATGCCCAGTGTCAGAAAGGGTCTGTGGCAGGGAAAGCAGCTCAGAGTATTATATTTTAAATGTCCCATTTCCTGGGATCCTGAGCACATCTATAAAAAGGCACATAGGAACATAAATTAAATCAAGTTCTTAAGCCCCTGCATCGCATTTACTTGACAATACTTTCCTCCATCACATCTTAACCTCAAGACTATTCTTCCTCTATGCAGGCAACTATATGGGAACCCCTATGGGATATCCCCATATGATTTGCTAAAGAGCCACAATCTTTCTATAAAGCATTTAAGTGTAATCAAAGAATGGTAACAGTGCACCATAAACCTGGTGCAAATTGTACAAGCCTTTAGGATGGTTTTATACAACTCGGACTTCTCATTAAATGACATTCAGCATTTCACCGAGGATTTGCTAGATGCCCTTGAGCCTTGCAGCAGTCCTTCCTGCTCTGATTTTCAGGGAGTTCCCACAGTGACAAAACCTGCAGCTGCAGTAGGCTGAAGCACTTACAGCAGCAGGAGCATGTGTGGTTTAGCACTGATGCAGCAAGGCAGCGACAGAAGCATCTGCACTGCTTTGGGCCAGGAGAGCTTTGTGGGGATAATGGAGCTTCCTGGGGAGTGAAAACGACTGTTTGTGTGAGCACAAGCTTGGCTGGACTGCAGCAAAGGTTGTGCTGTTCCTTTTTTTTTAATAGGAAAGCTCTAGGACCTCTTTCCTTATCCTCCCTCCTTCCTCCACTGAACACTGCCCAGACACTCCCTCTCCTATTCTTGCAACATTCTTGCTGCCTATCTGACCAGTACAGGAGGAAGGGAAAAAATCAGTTATCAGAGCTTTTTTCCCCCCACAGACAGCTAGGAGGAACAACGGGCTGGCATTTCAGATGTGTTTGAACTGCCTTGAGGCCCTGCACTTTGGCAGTCCCTCTGTCTGCATCAGCCTCTATAGCTACATCTCTTCAAGCATCCTGCCAGTGCTTGTGCTCAGGACTACCTGAAATATTTTCCTGCCATTGCTTTCCAAGCCCTTCTCTAACACAGTGACTCCTATTCCAAATGCAGGGCTGCTGCAAAAACTGTAGGGCTGGAGTCTTCTGACCTGCATTATTTTTGCTGCAGGGACTTTTAGTTGCTAGCGTATGTTGTTTGGATTTCTTGAATCGCCAGGAGCAGAGCTGAGTGGTTTTCTTTCTCACTAAGCTCTTGAGCACCTTTTACTTGCTTTACTTTACTATTTTTTTTTACTTTGCTTTACTTTTACTTTACTTTATCTTTGCAGAGTCAGGGCTGTGGGTAGTAAGACAGAAGAGTATGTGCAAGTTACAGCTCTTTGTGCCAGCAGACACTCAGGGACACTCCTCTTTTGTCCAAACAA